TTATAGCTGTGGAGCAGGATGATGTGGCAGAGAAAATGTGGATACTGTATCTCAGATGTTTGTTTAATTTAATTTCATCCAATGTACTATTTTGATGGGACTGCAACAGAGGGGCCAGCCCTATGATCAGGAATGTGACTGACTGACTGACAGACTAATCGACTGATTGATTGATTGCAATCATATTTCCACAACTGGTCAGCCAGTTGGAGTTTCTGGTAAAAACAGGTTCTATTTGTTGGGTGGTTACAGCTGCAGTGTTGACAACTTTGCTCATTATCTCTAGATTTAGAGACTTTGTTTAAAACAGACTGGGTATAAACCTGGTTCAGGTCTGGACCATGTATGGATGCCAACCGGGGGCTCAGGGCTACACCTCTTGTTACCTCTCTCTCTCTCTCTCTCTCTCTCTCACTATGGCCGTAATAAAGGCAAAGCCTTTAAGTCTGTCTCTTCTAACTTTCCCTCTGAGTGGCCATGTTACAGTAAATCCAGCTGAAATCACAGTTCAGTCTTTGTCTTTCACTTATGTTTGGTGATTTTGTCAGACGACGTCACAGTTGTTATAAAATCAGGATGTGACCAGATGTCCAGACGGATACTAGGTTTTGACATAGTCTTGTTTTCATATCACATTGTTTTTTGCTGTTGGAAATATTAATGATCTCACACATAAAATTATCCATAAATATTAAAGGGGCATATTATGCTTTTCTGAATTTTCCATTACTTATAGTGTGTTATATTGGTCAGCTTCAGAGTCCACCCTCTGAAGCTGAGTCCTGAACCAAAAGATGGCCTTAAAGAGCCCTGAGCTCTAACAGATTGTGAATGGAGTACAATATAAAATGTAAATAAGAAGAAAAATGTTTTTGCAGATTAAGTGAGGATTTTAAAAAAAATGTGGATCAAACACTTGTTTGTGATTGACTGTCCTTGCTCAGAGCATACCTGGATTAATAATGTGATCAATTGATAATCTTCAGTGTTTGATAAATGTGTCTGTTGCTGTTTGGAGACACATTTCAGCTCTTGTTAAATCCATTTTCTTCTCTCATCCTGTTTCTCTTCAGCCGTGTCAGTTTGACTTCGTGGTGTTCTGCCCAAACATCACTGAAGCCATCGCCTCCTGTAACGCAGGTGAGACTCTCAGCCTATTGGTTCAGTTGTGTTCTGTCCAACTAACAGGATTGAAGTACTGGACCAGTGGTTTTACATTTTTCAGCAACAACTACAAATGAGACAAAAGTTTTTAGATTGACAACAATTGATTTAATTGTTCACGATAGCTTCAGAACGTTTCCAGACCCCTTGACTTTTCTGTGTTTTAATTTTCCCCATCAATCTACACTCATAGCTCAAATGACAAAGTGAAATGTGGTTTTAGAAGTTTTATTAAAAATCAAAAACTCAAAGGTCATCAGATCCTTAATTCAGTCATTTGTAGAAGTCTTTTGCAGGGTGTCTGGGCTCAGCCTTACTGTACATTCAGACCGAAAGTGGCGAGAGTGAAAACAATGGCTCTGGCTGCCTGTTGAAGGATGCTGTTGAAGTTTGTGGGCGCTCTGACATAGATGACCTAGATGCTAGCAATTTGCATGTTATGGTGCCAGTTAGCATGCAATCCCGTCCTGTTTTCACATTCTTATATTTTAGGCTACACGTCACTAACTCACCTGGAAGACCTACAGTGTCAATCATCAAAACCTCCTCCTTTGTGCCTGGGAACAAAGGTTGATAGGAACAAAAGTATACATGGTGGTGTTCTCTAAAGTGGAGCACTTCGACATTCTGATTGGTTCCCGCTGAACTGTGTCATAGCTCATTACCATAAAGTTGCCTGGAGTTCAATTTTTTCTGACATCCACACCGCTCAAGATTCACTGCCAGCAGGAATGCTGCTGCGCTCCACCATGACACGCTGACTTTCATAGAAAATAAATGACTTCCTGTCACTTTGATGCTCTCGCCGCTTTAAGTCTGAACATACAGTTGGAGATAGAGTGAAGAGCTCTGACATCTGGGGGGAAGCTTGGAGTAGAGTCGCTGCTCCTTCACGTTGAAATGAGACAGTGGAGGTGGTTGAGGACTCTGGTCAGGATCCCTCCTGGTTTCTTTTCTGACACTCAGGGGAAAAAACACAGATTAGCTTTTCTCCAGCAGCAACAAATCTGGAGTCTCTCTTCTCTCTTTCTTATTTCTGTAGTTCCAACAGGAAGTAGAAGTAGAAGAAGAAGAGGTGGAGAGAGTAGAGAAGGCAGTAGAGGGTTAGTGATGGTGCTCTTGATGCTGTCAGAGAGCACAGGGTTTGATACAGGCCTAATGGTACCAAACCTGGTGAACTCTCAGTGAACCCAGGGAACTGCACACAGCTTTTGTCTTTTAAAATGTATGTTATAAGATAGAAAATAAATGAGCTCATGTCCCAAAATGTTGACCTATTAATTTACTTAGATTTGGAAATGGTCCAAACTCTCAGTCTCTGTGATGCTGTTCTATTAAACAAGTGTCATTCCCTCTCAGACCAGCAGAACTTTAACGTCTCGGTGGAGAACATGTTGACTCGCTGCCTGGACAACGAGAGGAGCTGGTATCTCCATCACAGCAGGAGGGACAACACAGTTTCCCAGCTGCTGATCCAGGACACCCTGCCCATGGTCCCTGAGAAGACGGCAGACACCCTGGTGTTCCCCTGCATCCTGAGCGCCCTCCAGTGGATCACGCAGGGCAGGGATCCAGTGCTGGGAGACCCAGCCAATAGAGTCTTCACAGTGAAACCCAGTATCACAGCCAAAGCGGCTCCGCTCTGCGACGCAGCCGAGATCCACATCCTCATCACGGGGAGCCTCCACCTGGTGGGAGGGGCTCTCAAACACCTCGACCCAGCTTCCTCCAAGTAACAGGATCATGTGACATCAGTGGATTCAGACAGTTTGAAATTTGAATGGGTGCTATGCTTGTATGAATTTGCCCTCATGGAAGAAAGATAATTGTTGTGTAGATGAAGTTTTTGACTTGAGGCGTTTACCTGAGTGGATTAGCTGCACCCAAGTGTTGCTGTTGTCTTGACGCTGACTCTTAACGGTCAGCTGGTTTGGACCAGGGCAGCTCCAGACCTTCACACAGAGCCTTACTGTCTTCAGTCTCACCTGAAGCCAAATGTGTTTACATGAATTACACAGGAACAGTGATGTATACCACAACATGAGAACTGGAACTGTGTGTGTGTGTGTGTGTGTGTGTGTGTGTGTGTGTGTGTGTGTGTGTGTGTGTGTGTGTGTGTGTGTGTGTGTGCGTGTGTGCGCGCCTGTATGTGTGTGGTATAATGGTTACTACATTACATTACATTTATACAAACACCACAGGCTAGTAGCCACCAAAAAGTGCTACACAGTTTTTACATATGTGTGAAACACATTCACTATTACCTTCCACTTGTTAATTTGAATGAAATCATTTCGCACGGTTCCTACTTTTACTTTGTCAATTTTTTGACCACGTGCTTCACACACACGACTCTGCTGTTTGTTTTAGACGTGTAAATATTCTAACACTAGTGTCGACATCAGGTGGATTCATTTAACTGACACATCAAACACAGTGTAATGTTTTACACTGGATTATATTTAAGTGATCCTTAATTTAAACGTGCATCATCGGACAGTAATGTGTGTAGGTGTTGTATGTATGTGTAATGATGAAAGATGTCGGTGTAAGTAGTGAATATGAGTCAATTAAAAAATATAGATATGGAAATTGTTGTGAATATTTCATGTATTCTCTTGGATGATGGATCATCACACACAACATCACCTCATTATAAAACATGTTTTATACTGAGTTCAATTTACAGTCAAGGCTTTAAAGCAGCTGTAAACTGTGTCACTGAGTTTTTAACTTGGTTTATTAGAGATTTAATCACATGGTCTATTTAAAGAAGATGAACTGGGAATAAAAACCAGCCAGGGATCTTGGACTCAGACCTACGGTGGCCCTGAGAGCTCACTGCACTACAACATAAGAAAACATGCAAACAGAAAAAACAGCTTAATCAATTTGACAACACATGAGCTGCAAATAAACACAATGGAAGTGTTTCCAGAGGACACTAAAAACATCCCTGTACTCCTCTTCCTGCCCGTTCCTGATACGCGCCACAATAGCTGTGTCATCCCAGTATTTCTGGATGTGGCAGGACTCAGAGTTGTATTTAAAGTCTGCTGTGAACAGGAACGGAGCCAGAACAGTCCTGTTATTCACACATGTAACATATAACATTAGTTATTTTACAGTTAGGTCTGATTCTGTGATTTAATAACTGTTGTAAAGTAGATGTAATTTGGTCCTTCCTGCTGCTGTGTGACATCTACACATATTTAAGTGTCCAACACATGCCAACACTTCATCATGCTGTTGATATCTTCACCTGTTCCTTTTCTTTAATTGTGTGTCTTCTTGACTCGCACATCAGTCACAACGCTTCAGTGGCTGATTCTGTTGCACTGATTTGCCTGATTTATTTTTACTTTAAATAAAACATTTCTAATCTAACATGGGGTCAAAAACTGAACCGATCCTGTTTGCTAAGACTAAACCAAGCTCAGTCCCACCCCTTCCTTATATGAACAGCTGATCATCGTCTGATTAATCACAATAGATCAGATGAATCCAAAATCCAAATCCAAAATAATGACTTAGAATTTCAGTTCAAGTCATAAGTTAAAGATTTACATCAGATCTATCAAATTTGTGAAACCATAATTTGCAATAAATACAAAAAAAGTCTCAAACACTTGATATTACTGCTGCTGCTACCGCAACAGTGAGGACGACCCCTAGTATTATTACTGGTGCCATGTCATAGCGTATGAGTCAGAGTGGGAGGAGCTGTGGGTGGTAACAGGGCTCCAGCGGCTCATTAGCTCGGGCCCTTTGGGAGATTGATGCCCAGAAAAGATCAAATAAACGACAAACATCTGGAGAAATGAGTTTGTTGTCTTAATATATGTTTTAATTATTCACACCATTTAAAAGCAGATAAATGTTTCCAGCGAGTACAGAGGGACAAGATGAGGAAGTGACAGTGAGAGAGGACAAGACAAGCTGTCAAACATTGCATTAGTGATTATAACAAACACCAACAATGATCAATAGACTCTGTTAGTTGACTTCAATGATGTTGGACTAGTGTTACTTTGGTTGGCAACAGAGACAAATAAGAAGTTCTCAGAGAAAGGCACATCAGTAAAGAAGGTCCTGAGCCACTGACTGGTTTAATGTTGGCTCTTCATATATGATACAAATAAAAATCATACAATAAAAAAGATCAACAAAATACTAATAATAGGCCTGGATGTGACAAGTGACAACCAGAAACACAACAGCATTAAAATAACTCTATATTAAACTTATATACATGAGAGAATAGTCTTAATACAGGGAAGTTGCTCTGCTCTTCAGAATCCAGCTACAAAGGTTTTGTGTACATGACGAGTTTAGCTCACAGCAGTTTTTTGACCATGCATACATAGAGTGGCATTCGGTGCAGGACGGTGACCCGGCTGGTTCTAGCTGTGGAAGAGGCGGATCCGCTGGGAGATGTGGCCGCGACACAGAGGGCAGTTCTGCAGAGCGTCGCTGCACACCTGACAACAGCACACGTGACCGCAGGGCAGGAAGATGACCTGAGACTGGAGAGAGGGAGAGGCTCTGACGTTCATATCTGCACATCATGAATAATGATTGATTACACAGAAAGAGTTCTGGAGGAACTGTAATACTTGTGAAGAGTTTACACCATTAGACGGCAGCTAGAACATAATCAATTTAAGAAATTGATTGATAAAAATGAAACTCGAATTGACTTTTTTTTAATGTTCACATGTGGAGTTGTGGCCCTGTCACATATTATATATTATATCATAAATACATATTTTAACTGATTTACTGAACTGGTGTTATTTTCTTCACGTCAGACATTTTATGTCCAATATTTCAGAGGTCTGTCAATCAAGCAACAGAACCATTGGAACTTCCTGTCAGAACTTCCTTGTGCTTTTACTTTGTAGGCAAACTGTTGCCATTATGGAGATGTATTTCAGCACCCTGCTCTGTGCACTGTACAGTGCAGCCCAGTGTTTCCTCTACATTCATTTAGCAGTGGCGGCCCGCCACAGAGTCGATGCATCTTCAAAATAACTCTTCTTTGGCCACTAGGGGTTTCTCTGTGTGCAGCCTGCAGCTAGCATCTACTTATAGTCTGCATGTGAGGCACTTAGTGTACATCTCTAAACTGAAGCCACAGAAAAAAACCTGGGTTACAGTCTCCCCCTCTAAACTGCATACACATCGGTCACCGGCCGTGCCACCCAACCACTGTGAAAATGCTATTGTCAACACTGGAGTCAGTCACGTAACAGGACAGGATGGGACCCTCTAGTTGGAATTGAGCCTTTTTCCAGCCTAAACAGTGAATATTTTTTGTATTGTGAATGTTTTGGCAAATTGGCCACATGATGAAAGCCTATTGGCAGGTCCTGTTTCCAGTGTAAACATGGATGTAAAGACAACAGATGTAGTCTACTTGACTGAACAAATGAGGTTATATTTCTATGTTTATATCTGTGTTAAATGGCCTGGTGAAGACAGTTTGGCCAGCTGCTGTCTGTGCTGCTGAAAATAAATGAAGTTTATTTATATAGTGTGCTAACTGTATTAAAGTCTGTTACACACCAGTGACACCTCAGCACTGGTGTAAAGTTCAGGTGTCACAGTCCTGGACCAGACATGTTAGCATCACTGAGCGTAGTGTTTTAATACTGACACTGAAGGTTTTACTTACCCCGGTCTCCATGCAGACCACACACTCAGAGCTCCCTGGTCCCTCCACAGGGCTGGGGGCTGAGGGGGTGACAGGGGTCCCCGGGGTGAGTGGGGGACTGGGCATCTGGATAGTCGATGTACTGGGAAGGAATGGAGGAGAAGATGGGGGCGGAGCCGAGGGGGTGACTTCTGCTGCCTCCTCCTGCTGCACCGCCTCACAGGCTCCTGGTGAACAACACCATCAGTGGACAGCAAATGTTACACAGGTGACTCTGATCACCTGCAGACTGATACGTCGACAGGCTGATTTTAAAGGCTGATTTCAGCTGATTGCAGATAAATCAGTATCAACATTAATGATGGCTGATAAGTAAAGAGACATTAAAGTAATGGAAAGCCAAAGACTTTATTACCAGTGTTGCTACTTTGTCAGCCAGAGAGCACTGAGACTCCAACACCTCATTCACTGCGGCAGAGGATCTACAGTATGTCTTCATGGTAAGATGCTCATTTTACTTTTAGTTTAGTCCCTTTCCTATACCCATCAGGCTACAACCTGCTCACACATGAACAGTTAACTGTCTAATATATAATAAAGCAGGATGTGTGTGAGGTTCAGCTGCAGCACCAGCCAAATGTTTGTTAATGTTGCTGCACCCACCTGTCCTGCTGCAATACAAAATTCGATATATAGATGTAAGTGTAGGGTATCTGATTCTGAAAACGATATCTCAGCCTTAACCAACCCTCAACTGAGCTCCGTCCGGTTATCATCAAGAATGTGGAACCACTGGTGTTGCAGGCTGTATGTAAATAAGGACTTTAAGCAGCAACGGTTGAAGTGATATGCATTCCAACGTGTTGCCATAGTAATGGAAATCAAAGATCTCTAAGCAACATTTAACTCTAACAACAGCTACTTCACTTCTTCAGGAAACTGAGGTCGCTCTGAACGTTGCTACAATATGTCTCTTAAATGACCCGAGAGCTGCTGATCTTTGCTTTAGAGACAATTTAATATCAGATGAGGAGTTTGTTTAAATCCATCTGGTTTCATCAACACACAGCACAGTGAGGTTGTGGGATGGAGAGGGAGGATGGAGGTTAACAACATGTCTATGAATAAACAGGAAAAATCAGTCAAGTCAGCAGGTATCTTCAACAAATAAAATCATAATCCATAAAACTACTAACGGTGTCATTGAAATATGACAGAAACGTACTGATTCTTTAACGTGTCACGGTACGGCAAACTAGTCTTTCTCCTGTAGTGGACAGTAGGAAGTTTTTCCTTGCCACTGTCGCCTAGCACTTGCTCTTGGTGGGAATTGTTGGGTAAATATTATTATAAAGAGAAAGTCTAAAGTGCCTTGAGATAACGTATGTTGTGAAATGGCGCTATACAAATAAAAATTTACTTGACTTGACTTGACAGTCGTGCTGCAATGGTAGGAAGTGTCGACATAGAATCTATGACATCGCATCACGCCGTGGCCGTCACTTCAGCCGTCACTGCTTAAAGTCCCTACTGTCTGAGTATTGTGTAATGTCTTTTGTTTTGATTTTATCTTACGTGGATTTCTTTTTGTTTGTAATTGTTTTCTTCCTATGAACCCCCCATGCGCTGTGTCCTTAATAAAGATTGAATGAATGTACCTTGAGGTTGGTGTTCCTGAGCCCAGGCCAGGAGAGTCCTCTGGATTCCCACTTCATTGATGCCGAGCTGAAAACAGAGAAGCTGATGATTATTCTGCTCATTCATTGAGCGATAAACCTGCATTCATTTAACACAACACTGACCGAGTCACTTTCTCAGTTTATATGGAAACTTATTAGCTACTTATTCATGCATCAGTTGTAAAGTAAAGAAGACTGTAAAAGGTTTTCAGTGAGAACATCAGGCTGCTGAAGCAAAACAATGAGCTCAAAGTAGCAAGAAAACTTGGGGAACATGAGGGTGAAGGAAACTGCAGCTAGGTGATAATTCTGGTCATGTGATCCACTACTAATTAATAAATATTGATTATAGCCACTTTACATTAACTGCTTCTAGCAACTGAGTCTTATGTGAGTCGTGATGTTGCACACGGACCTTCTTGAGGTCAGAGGAGGTCATGTGGCGAAGGGCCTCAGCCGTCACTCGATGATGAGCCAGGATGGGCAGGTAGTGCTGAGCCGACAGTTTACACAGCAGGCTGACTAACTCCTTCTCAATGTCCGCCTCCTGCAACAGCATCACAGCTTTAGAACAACACATTCAATCTCCAGATGTGTGTGTGTGTGTGTGTGTGTGTGTGTGTGTGTGCGTGTGCGTGTGCGTGTGCGTGTGCGTGTGCCCTGCTCTGCTCTGTACCTGCACGCGCAGCGACACAGGCTTGGCGTCCAGCAGCCTCTGATACTGGATCATCCAGTAGTTCTGCTGGTTGGACTCAGACTTCCGCTCGATCTCAGCCTGGAAAACACACAATGACTCCTGCTCATTTCACCCAGAGAGACAGAGACAACATGGGAGGTAAATGTGTCAGTGTGTGGATGTGAACATGGAATAAAAGCAGCCAAACGTGATCAACTGATGAGGAGATGGAGGGAAGCATGAGGTGATGACATTTACCTGACTCTGACAAAGTGAAGCTGTGACTATCTCAAACAGACTAAACAGACCAATCAACAGAAAGACCTAAGACTACTTCCTGTTCTTCCATTTTGAGCTCAGTCTCTGACCCGACTGATGATGACTTTACATTCAGTCTGCTGGTTTGACTCGACAGCGTCTGTCTGACAGAGCAAGTGTTGATCCCCGAGTGTCATCCTGAAATGAATCTGCCATTGAGTGCAGTGACTGCTTTGTTGTGACATCACAAAGTTCCAGAAGTCCTGACGGCTGGTTTTAAGGCTCAGGTTCTGAATACAGGCTGTGTGCATTTCTCTGTGGACTGAGGCTTTGATACTTTCACAGTATTAATATAGAAGCTAGACCTGATCTATAATCACACTACACATGGACAGAGACCTTTAGACTATATGGACCTTTAAATGTAAATTAAGCCAACTACCAAAGGCAGTGGTGTCATGTTATGTGCTAGCTTCTCACAACAACAGGAGAGCTACATGTCGTCTGTTTGGGACATGTAGTTGTTGTTAAAATGCACAGCCTCTTTATGTAGAAGATGTTTTGTGCTTGAATAAACTGTATTTTGCTGTTGACAGCTTCATTTGCTTTGTGTGCAGAGGTTCCATTTTCTTTACAACTTCATTTAAATGCTTGTGTAAACACAGTTTGGTACAACACAACCACTGAGGCCTCAACGTTACAGAATAAAATCACCTTTCTGTAACAGTTCTGACAAACCTGAACATTATGACCATGTGACCTGTTGTTTCTTTTCCTTTCTCTGGAAACGTTCTGGTTGACTCATGGACGACTCAGGAGTTAGAGAACATTGGATTTGCTAATGTTGTTTCTCATCTTTCCACACTTCATTGTTTCTTTTCTTTCATGTCTGGATGGAAATCAGTTTGATAAAGTTTGACTGAAATGTTAATGTCAAACCTGACTAAAACTAAAAAGGGTGAGTTTGACTAAATATGATTGAAACTAACATGGACTTCTAACTAGAATCACCTCCTGGTGGTCGTCTGCCTCCTCCACTCAGACTAGTTTCAGACTACATCCCTGTTTGTCATGGAAAATATGAACCATTTGTGTGAAATTCTGTCATAATTTCTGTGAAGTCTTGAGTTATGGATAAAAAGTGTTTTAAAAGGTCACCATGACCTTGACCTTTGACCACCAAAATCTAATCAGTTCCACCTTGAGTCCAGGTGAGATATCATGTCAAAGAGAATGGGATGGATGGACTGGCTGTCGTTGGCATGGAGGCATAAAAAAACAGCAGCTGACAAAACGAACACTACATGGACCTTTATCATGTTTCAAATAGTTTGACAAAGAATATGAGTAGTCACTAAGTCATTAGTGGTAGAAAGTATTCTAGCCATTGATTATACATAATATTCCTGATGTCAGGCCGGTGTCAAACACACGTGTGTGTGTTGGTCCACAGCAGTGACACTGAGGTCCCAGCAGCCGGTCACTCACCAGAATCTGCCGCAGCTCCTGCTCCCTCTGGTCCCTCTGCTTCAGCAGCTGCTGCAACAAATCACTTAAAGCTGTGCGCTGGTCCACCAGAACCTCCTGCACACTCAACACACACCATCACGTCAGGCAGAGTCACAACACACACTCATTAGTAAATACTGACAAAAGCCAAAAATAAGACACTAGCCTGCCTCTGATAATCACTATCACTCTATTCAAATATGTTAAACCCCTTTACTGTTCATTATTTTCATGAACATCAGCATGAACAATGATAAATTGTTGCCATGGAGCAATGAAAGGGGAAATAACCAAAATAAATTATGTGGTAATAAAGAGCAAGAAGAAAGAAAACATAATGTGTAAATGTGGGGAGACAAAGGAAGACGGTGGTGACACCCACCTGCAGGTTCTCAGCATTAAGATTGCGTCTTTTAATCTCCAGTTTAGTCAGCTGCATTAATTCACCCTCTATGAGCTTGATCTGGGGACAGTGGAGAAGCAAACATGAAGCAAACATGAAGGTAAGCAGGGAGCAAGGACATGCTGCTGATGAACAGGATAAAAACACGGATGAAATGATCCATCAAATGTCAGCAGAGCTCAGTGTGTATGTTCAGGACACAGCACAGGATGTTTCCAGTGAGTTTAGTCAGCTTGAGTTATGAACATATATGTCATAGGCCTCATCCACTCGTACCAATCAATATGGCACTTCAGATTTTTTTCAATAAAATTTCCAATCCAATTCTGGTGAAATTCTGTCCACCTGGTTTTGAGGTACAGATTTTTGCATTTGTGGCCCCTGTGGGTCAGACTCAAAATTCTTTGGCCCTTTCCAATCATGGCCTGGGGACATGTAGCAAGATTTATGATGATTGGACAAATGGTTCATGAGTTATGAACAATATTCACTAAGCCCCGCCCTTTACAAAGATATTTTGGTCCATGGCGACCATGTATTTTAACCAATGATGGAATTTGTATCTCAGTCCCCCTGTATGCCAAAAAGTTCAATTCATTTTACTGTTTTTCACATTATGCAAATTAGCCAAATATCCATCAAGGTGGCCTTAATTATCACAGAGGCTTTTTGTAGAGAATATTAACCTGTAGCTGTGACTTCAGTTTGAAGATGATGGGACTCTCAATGATGCGGGGGAAGCCTTTCAAATTTCCACTTTTTTGACTCTGGCCGATTGGGATCATATTTTTTGCAAAGCATTTCCACATCATTTCTAGTTGTGAGTTTGTGTCTGTAGTTTGTTCCAGCTCACTGCAAATCTCAAATGATGAGAGCATGGTGACAGATATTGATGAACAGGCCTCTCTCTCTCTCTCTCTCTCTCTCTCTCTCTCTTCTCTCTCTCATTCTTCTCTTCTTCTCTCTATCTCTCTCTCTCTATCTCTCTCTCTCTCTCTCTCTCTCTCTCTCTCTCTCTCTCTCTCTCTCTCTCTGTGTCTCTCTAGATTTAGAGACTTTGTTTAAAACAGACTGGGTATAAACCTGGTGGGCCGGGGGGCTCAGGGCTATACCTCTTGTTACCCCTCTCTCTCTCTCTCTCTCTCTCTCTCTCTCTCTCTCTCTCACACACACACACAATTCAGTGCTACCTTACAGCAGGACGGACACGGTAGTGAGTGCAGGAGCTGCTGATGACTCATCAGGGGTTAAAATAACATAAGAGTGTAACATCTACTGGGAATCGGTTCTGACACAAGCAAGCTATGCTAACTAGCGTTCCACTTTCAATATCATAATTGAAGTCTGTCACAATTTAAAATGTAACATGAGCAACAGAGAAACACAAAGTAGAACATGAAACACGATGCTGACCAAAAGCTAAACCAGGATGTCTTGCAAACTATGAGAGCATGTTGAAGTTGTTCAGCTAGACTTGGACCGAGCTGAGACTCGTGACAGATCTGACCCTCACCCCACCCGTCTCCACCCATCTGCACAGACCTGGTTGCGGATGTAGCCGTGTACAGCGTCTTTCTGCAGCTGCAGAGCCTGGAACGCTGCTTTCTGCATCTCCTCCTGCAGAGGTCAGAGGACATGACAGGTGACTGAGCCTGCGGCTGAAACGGGGTGACACTCACTGATTCCGCCACGCTCTAATAACAAAACTGACACCAAGGAGGGAAAGATCAGACAGGTACAGAACACCACGTACCTCCTGCAGGATGTGAGCTATGGCTTTAGATTTGTCCAGAGCTTGGAGGGAAAGCATCTTATCAAACTTCCTGTCCAAGTTCTCTATACTGTTACAGAACAAGGGAAGAGACAACAACATGTTTCTCAAAGTCCACAGATAATTGCAGCATCACCATGTCTCTGCTCAGATCTGGTGTGTGTGTGTGTGTGTGTGTGTGTGAGTGTGTGTTTAACCTCCTGGAGGCCTCAGAGACCAGGCTCTGTCTGCGACAGTCACTGGCCTCCTGGAGGAGGCTCATTGCACAGCTGTCTGACAGCATCTTCTGCATGGCCGCTACAAGCACACAGAGGGAGGAGAGAGGAGGGAACACAAGGTGAGTCCACACACAGGAAGATGAGGAATGAAAAGATAAAATCAAAGGCAGAGTTTGACCCATACTGGATTTTTCAGGCAGATACCAATAGCAATCTGTGATCAAAAAATGAATCAATCTGACCATTAATGTGTCTAATAAATTACAGTTTTCTTTGATAATCTTGAAAATTCTGTGTATTTCAAGTCAGTCTTGAAAATGAGATAAATGTTCAACAGCCACAAAGACTCAAAATTTAGAGAAAAATATATTTTTTTTCACTGAAAAAAATCAATATTTCCTTAAAAAATAAATACTGGAGTTTTTTCTTAATTCTTTTGCAAGTTTTGTTAAATATACAATGACTCAGCAGCACGAGAGAGTCCATGTCTGGGTTTGTGAAAAATGTTACACCAGCTGTACTGTTGATACATTAATGCCAAAACCAATGATTGTGAGAAAAAACAACAGCAGATACAAAGTCAGGGCTGTTTGTGACATTGTTTGTCTACACAGTTACTGGAGTCTGGTTCACATGTCTTTGTACTGAACACAGAAACCAGTGGAGTTGATTTAATAGACAGACCTCAGAAAATATGAATATGATATGAAAATACACTCAGCATGCCAATAATGACAAAGTCAAAACAGAAATTTTGGAAAGTTATTAAATAAAAAAACTGAAAAAATAAAAAAATAAAAACATAAAACATAATGAGCAAAGTGAACAAAGTGAAGGGGTGTGAAGACTTTCTGAATGCTCAGTTCAGTTTATGAGGTACACCTGCCTCCATGAAGGTTCTAATGTTCAGTTTGTGTTGAAACTGTTTCAGGTTGATTCAGCTGCTGCAGTTTGTGATGCTGGTGACTTTTATTGTGTTATAAAGCCAGGTGTTTCTATTATTTTGTCCTTGGGCTGCACAATATGCAAAAAAAATATATATATATCATATTGCGACTGTGATTTCAGTTGGAATGGGTATTTTTACATTTCATAGCTTCATGAGGTCTGACATTTAAAAAAAGATGGTGATGATATGATTTTTGTTGGTCTTGTACCAAACAAACACGTTCATTTACGTCTGGAGAATATGATCTGTGGGACAGAATGACTCTGTAGCACCACAACACTTATGGTGCTAACAATGTACAACGATGTGACACAGTTCACCTTCATCAAAAAATGTGGATATTGCACTTGGCCATGTTGCGATTTGGATTATATTTTGATTAATTGTGCAGCCCTGATTTCTCCATGAAATCATCCAAAATGATCAATTCTATTAATAACTGAACATTACAAACTGGACTGCTGCATTAGTTTTTGCTGGGTCGACTGAGTCTATGAAGAAAATATATCAAATCTCTGACAACACAGATGTCTTTTTGTGTGTGGACAAACTAATTAAACAACTGCTGCAAACATCATCAGCTTCAGCTCCATCAGCTGAGCTTTACCTGCCACCTCCCGTTTCCTCAGTGAATTGGCCTCTTCCTGTGTGATGGCGGTCAGATGCTCCGTATGGATCCTGTGGGGAAAGTCAACAACAGTTTATAGTAATGGTCTGCTGACTTTTACCAGTAATCAAAACAAGACATAAAATGAACATAAAAGCATATTAAAAACATTCATGCCAAATGAGATGGAATTATAATAAAATAGAAATAAATAAATAATTAACATAAGTTAAAAGTTGATTACATTGAATGCATCAAATCAAGTAAGAAACCTTTTCTTTTAACAGAAAACCTTTCTTTGTGCACTCTTTTATTCAACAGCTCTGAGGCAAACGGCTCTACAGGGCCTCTTTTTCAGTTGGGACTGAAATGCACCGCAGGTTCTGATTCCCCCCCACCCCCACCCCAGTGAGGTGCAATCTCACTGTGGGTTTTATCTGCACTGGGCACAGCCCCAAGTTGCCCCAGAATAACCACCCTCTCCGCTGGGGTGTTAAACACATGCTGCTTCTCTCATATCTATAGGTCATGTGTTCCACAGCTTTGGGCTGTTACTGAAAAAAGCTGCATCACCAGATTTTCCTTCAGCTGTCACTGGAACCTTCAATACAGCAGCAGCAGATGATCTCAGTGTTCTTGGAGGTACATAGTTACTCAGGGAGTTAGAGATTTAGCTTGGTCCTCGTCCATGACGGTCTTTGTATATGAGGAGCAGAAAATCAATTCTGAATGTAACAGGAAGCTCAAACGGGACTAATGGTGCTCTTTGCTCATGGTTTTAGTTCAGTTTAACTAAATGAGCTGAAGTCTCTCAGTGTTTTTTTTTCTTGAGGCCAGTAAAAAGTGCATCACAGTGATTGCATTCAAGTGCAGGATTCGAAGATGAGTTGTGTGTGTGTGTGTGTGTGTGTGTGTGTGTGTGCGTGTGTGTGTGTGTGTGTATGTGTGGCAGACAGGCTCAGTCTTGTAAGTGGAAAACATGATTGTGGCCATTTGTTGGAGTGCCTCATATCTCTGCTGTAATAGAGCTGGATGTTAAGGATCAGTTATCTGCCCACTCACCGATCTTCCTCCATGGCCTGAAGAAACTCTGTGCTCTTCTTCTGCCTGGAGGAAAGATGTAAACACACTGCAGTTAGAATGATGAATTTAATATGTGACAGAGATGCACACACTCTCTTCACAGTCAAACAAAGCCGCTTCCTGCAGGTCCTACCGGTTGCTGTCCATCAGCATGTTGCTGATTCGGCTACTGATGTTGTCCTCAGCTTGTCTCACTTTCTCCAGCACCAGCAGCCTCTCGGCCTCCTGAGCCCTCTGCTGCTGGCTGACTCCCTGCTCCAGACGCTCCTGCTCCTACAGATCACACACACATTTCACACGAAACAGTAAAATAAACAGATTAGAAAAAGTCAATGATCGGTAGTAACTTCACTGGGCTGCTGGAGATTAGCTTCGTTTAGCTGTTATTGCTGACCTATAAATCATGTTTTCGTCATCATCACTACATGAACGTGTGAAATAAACACATAGCAAGAGACTGAGAGAAACGCAATGAAATGTAAATGAGAAAAAATCTATTTATTTACACGCACCAAGGATTCACACAGGGTTTTCAAGGCACAGAAAAAACTATGCTGAATGTTCTCTACTGCTTTTCTCCAGAGAGATATTATTGACTTTATACACATTGACTCTCAATTCAGTGATAACTATGAGGTTAGCTAGTACGATGGTAGAGGAAGACATAACAACGGTATATGCACACTTCAATATTTGTTTATCACATATTGTCATGGCAATACTGAACAGTGCTATCATATATTGCAGATTGATTTTCCTCATATCGTGCAAGTCTATTAGCTAAAATGAAAACTGTATAATGACCACAATTATCATGTTGTTTGCCTCCACCAACCAGTACAGGTTGCAGCAAATATGCCCTTATGATGTCACAGTGAAGTTGACCTTTGACCTTTTGGCATGGAGGCATAAAAAGGCGAAGCTGAGCTCTCTGTAAAGCTGTACTTCTTGTTAAAGGACCAACAGAACTGTAAAATTCTCCATCAGCTCACAGGTAGTTTCTCTTTAATTTCAACACAATGATAAAGCTCCGACAAAGAATCTATAGAATAAAATAAAAATGCATATCTACTGGACACTAACATTTTTATAAGACCAGGAGCAGGTGAGCATGTGAGCAGGTGAGCATGCAGCGTACCTGTCGGACAGAGTTGAGGATGTTTTCCTTGCGGGAGTTGTTACTCAGTAGAAGCTGGGTGTGCTCCTTCTGTCTTTCCTCCAGGTGCCGCTCGAAAGCCAGTTTCTCCTCCTGCTTCTGTTGCTGCAGCATGGAGGACAGGCTCAGTGTCTATATACTGCATCATATACATGTCTATCTACTTTCAAAGATACACATGTAGACCTTTAACTTTTACGCTTTGCTACAATCCTGCACTAGAGCTGCTCAGAAGCAAAATAAAAACTCTCAGTCAACTGTTTTTGTTTTTAGTAGTCAAGTGTTCAGTTACTTGTAATTTGGGCACTATGCATTAAATGCTGACGTAATGTCACATCTGCTTCAGCAACCTGTTCCCTAACACTCCCTCCTGTTCTCATTCTGTCTCCTGCTGTTACCTCCTGCTGTGTTCGGAGCAGAGCCACACCAGCTCCACCTCAACACCGTCATGGAGCCAACACCACCCTCTGCTTCGGTCAGTCTGCACTTCAGGTCAGTGAGCCAATCAGATGAGAGAAGGCTCTGATCCTCTCTTCTGATTGGCTCACTGTTTTCTGAGTGATCCAATAAAAATATAGCAGATTTCAGGTAAACACTAAGATATACCAAATCCTGCAAGGTTGGAGGGTGAATCAGGTTTCTGCTGCTGCTGGAGGCTGGTGAGTGCAGTGAGACTGACAGAAAAAATAAGCTAAGAGATGCTAAAAAGCTCTGTAGAGCTCAAAAGTATTGATTAGTGCTGCTCTAAGTACGAGCAGAGATTTTCTCTCCAACTCATCCCCCACATCTGTAGGGAAATCTGACAGCTGTGTCGGCTGCAGTCACAAACCTTTCTCCTGGCGTAGTCACTGAATTTGTTCTGCAACAGAAAGTGAGGGAAGGCTCAATGATTCAAAGAAAACACTTCATACAGTGTCAACAGCAATTAACTAGGTCCACGTTCTACACTAGAGTGGAGCACATCATTCACCTCCACACCTGTTCAGGGTGGGATAGTTACCTGCCAGGCCTCCTCCATGCCGTCCCAGCAGTCAGAGCTCTGTTTGCCACAGTCGTTCTCCAGCACTGGCAGCAGATACTGGGATGGGGGGCAATACTCCTCCCCCAGCTCTGAAAACCACATCAACCAAGAAACTTACCATAAGTCTTCCACTCAGGACTGAAGTCATGAGGATTAGAACTGAAGTCCAAGTTTACAAAGTTGGGCAACAGGTCTAATGTGAATCGGATTTAAGCCATAAAGTGGCAATTAATCATTCAGTGGAACTGAGGATATGAAAATCACCAGAGTTAAAATTCTGGGCTATTCACATAACATTAGTATACAGCCTTCTGATTACACTGTATAGCTAAAGGAATGGTTCAGTTTATAAAGAATCGGACCAGTAAGCAGAATGTGTTACTGAGATATCGTGTCCACGAGAATGAACTGAATATGCTGTCACCGGTGTGGAGGAAAAAAAAAAGATTATCCCTAAACTGCATTGCTGCAGCTCAGCCCCGATGATATGAAACAATATAAAACTCTGTTGGATTCACAGGAAAGCAGAAAAATCTTTGCGCTGTGAATGATCCTGGTAATTATGAGCCCTGGGTCTTAATTGTGTTTTTACCTGTTAAATTCATGAGTTAAAATGCTTGGGAAGGGACGGAAAGGCGATGCAGTAGAAACCACAAAGTAAACACTCACCGCTGCACAGGAAGCGCTGGATGCTCTCTGTGCCCTCTGTACACACAGATGCAGGTGGGTAGGTCATCATGGCAGCATCAAGTGTGAAGCTCTGTCACACACACACACACACACACACACACACACACACACACACACACACACACACACACACACACACACACACACACACACACACACAGGGTTTGTCTAAAAGCAGATCTATGTTTTAGGTTTCCTGTAAACGTGGATTGAAGGACAACACACCTCCAGCGTGCGGATGTGGGCCACAGTCTTGGGGAGCTGGACGATGTTGTTGTCGCTCAGGTCCAGGGTGCGGAGGCTGCTCAAACAGCTGACGGATACTGGCAGCTCACTGAGACAGTTACCTGTTGAATACACAGTGATGTCATCTGACTTGTACACGTCCTCTTACCTGTGGACAGGCGAGCAGTCGGTATCATACCCTTCAGATTGAGTGTCTGCAGGAGACGCAGATCGCCGAAGGAGTCCGGCAGGGCCTTCAGACGGTTCTTCTCCAGATTCAGAATCTGATAGGACACAAATACATGATGAGCAGTTTTCATTCACACTCATTCCCTCTAGTGCCATGAGTTGAGTTCATGACGGCTTTACCTGCAGTGATGCCAGCTTCCCAATATCTTCTGGGAGTGAGGTGATCCTATTGTCATGCAGATCCAAAACCTGAGGGTCAGAGATGAGGCGTCTATCAGACTTTTTGGTCTTCTGATAAACCATCATACATTTTTCATTATCTCATGAGATGCTTGCGCAAAGGTTGACTGTGAAACAGGAGGACATGCGCCGTGTCTGAAGGCTTAGAGCAGGGATGCCATGGTTACGGCCCGCGGGCCGGACCCGGCCCGATTGAACATCACATCCGGCCCGTGGGTTGATATGGGAGAGCATTTTTTGTCTGCTTTGCGAGTGGGTAAAGTTGTTTTAGAAAGACAAAACGTGAATGTGAAATGTGAATTAAATCAGATAATTTCATTAGGTAAAAATGTGTTATGAACGAATAAAATAGGTTAAATACTTTATTAATCCTGCGGAGCTGCCTGGTGTGACTTTGCGGGAGACAAACAGCGCAGTGAGCCCCCCTCCCCCCCTCCCCCTAAGCTTAAATTGCTTGCACAAAACTTTTGATCAGCACTCAGCATTTGTTTATTGTTGTTGTTCATTTAAACTAGTATGCACAGAGAGCGTGAGGGGGCGGGCGAGGAGAGAGAGAGAGAGAGTGAGCGAGCGAGCAAGTGTGAGAGCTAGAGTGAGCTCTGCGGTCTTGGCCATTAGTTCATGTTATTTTTATGTAGGTAATATGTTGTCAAATATGTTTAAACTTAAATAAACTAGCCTTCCTATACAGTAGTTATGTCTCGTATTAGTTTGTCCTGGTATTGATGTGATGCGCGTCATTGAATAATGCGCAAATAGATATTCAAATAGTTTGAATATATGTGTTTTTTAGAGCCCTAGCATGGATAGGACAATGTTACGTTTTCAGAGGGTACTGTAACTTGCTTTAGGCTTCTATGTAATTGTAGGCCTCATTGTGAGGCTATTGTGGTGCCAATGCAATTTCTTTTTGATATGTAGGCCTTAATGAATAATTTCAAACAGTGATGTGTGTCAGTGTTTGGTCTTTTCAGTTCGAAAGTGTAATTTGGCCCGCTGAGGTCTCACTTGAAAAAAATCTGGCCCCCTGACCAATTTCACCCTGGCATCCCTGGCTTAGAGGTTATAAATCATACAACACTGTAATATGCTTTCATTTCTCATCATGCTTGTGCATCACTTTACCTTTAAAGTGGCGAGAGCCCTGATGTCACATCCTTTGGGCAGCAGTGACCTCAGCTCATTATTATGGAGGATAAGGACCTGAAGGAGAGCAACAACCAGGGAGAGTTCAACCAGGGAAACAGACACACACATGTACTGACAGAGGGGAGTTGTGTAGATTTTGGTAAAACAGTACTTATTACATACACTGAATAGGAAATAAATAGGCTGTAACTTTACAGCTCCACAGTGCATTCTCACCTTCTTATGTAGCACCTTGCAAATGGAAAAGGCACTTGAAGGAACCTATGGAAGAACAGAACAAAGATGTCACCACCTGCAGTTCTTACCACACACTAATAAATACGAACTGTAATAATAATAATAATAATAATAATAATAAACAACTTTATTTATAGGGCACTTTTCATACATTTAAGTATATATATAATAGTACAATAAAATAAGGGCGGACTAAAGGACAATGAAAATAGACAACAGGAATGCTATCACTCTTCTTCCATCACCGCAGCTCAGAATAACATGAGGAGACTGTGACAATAACTGGCAATAAAAACTAAAAATCTGATGTCTTTGATTAGAATAATGATCCACTCTGTTAAATATTTCCATGATTATAAATTTGATTGATCATTTTTAAACATTTCAGTTTATCTCCTCTCTGCAGCAGAAACAGTCTGACATTAACTTCAACTGCTTTATGTGGTTCACATGATCGTAACAGTTTGTTCATCATCAGACTGCAGAGCGAAAATGCTGAGTAAGAAACCTAATGATAATTCATCTACTTATTTACAATATATCCTTAATCTGGCTTTAATAGAAATTATATTTAGAAATATTTTTATTAATACCTTAATACTTTTTATTCCAGTCACGTCATCATGTTGTTTACATTTCACCTTGTTGAATATCACTTTTGTAGGTGGATGTATGTCACTGCTCAGACACTGAATGTACATGTACCATGTTTTTATTGGCAAAGGCAGTTTTTTTTTTTTTTTTTTTTTATGTAATTCAATTATTTGGATCTGCATTTATTGATATTGTCTTTGTAAATGAATTAATATTACTATCGTATGATGTTTTGTAGAAATGGTTTATTAGCTGCAATGTTTTAGACAAAGGGAAAATGAGGTGAATATATCTCCCATCAAACTATGTTTCTACCTGACACACAGGCCTCAAATGTGACGGGTAATTAAAATGTAGTTATTGATGAAAGACACCAGGCTCTCTTCTCCATAACTGTACTATTCAAGGTCGATATTAAAAATCTTTCTAATGAATGAAAAGAGCTGTTTATCCACTATTTTTAAGCAGATGTAAAATCTGAGCGCAAAAGTGCAGTGATGTGATGTAGAGTCAGCTCAGTCTGATGTGTCTGTGAAGGCTGGTGTCTTGTATCCTGCTAATGTCTCTTCAGAAATGCTTCCTCACTCTGAACAGGAATAAGAGCAGTGGAGCGATGGAAAACCACTGAGAGAGAAACAAGGAGCAAGGAATGATCAAATATGGAAATAGGCATGGACACAACACACACACGCGCACACATACACACACACACACACAGTATGTGTTCAATATATAAGGCTTTAATTTGGAGGGGTGGCTCTAGTGTAGGAAGTGTTATTATAGTGTTATTAGACAATAGAAGAAAGATTCTATGGCTACATTCTATTCATGTATCTATTCATATTTTACAAAAAGTTTAACCTGAGTCATGTCAGCAATCATATCACATCTGTACAAGGTTAGCAGTAAACAGCTGGTTCATTTTTTTTCTAATGCAATGGCATTGGATCAGTATCAGTGTCAATTTCAGTATCTGCCAATTCACATGCTCAGGTATCAGGAAGGAAAAAATGATCTATTGGACTTTTGGAACATCTCTCGCTCTGGTGAACTGGTGTTTCTCTCTCAGGTGGATTATTGACTTAATGACACTGACTTCCCATAAAGAGAGAGAGAGAATGAAAAAGAGAAAAAAGTAAAGTGAGAAAGAGAGAAAGAGGTGAAGCTGAAACTTGAACTGCGTCTTTTATTGGGTGGTAAGCCGTTTTATAAGACATATTGTCACGTGACAGTGGAAAAAGCACAAGTGTAAAAAACAACTGTGGCTGCAGTCAAAAAGTCTTTTTTTTCTTAGAAAGGTTCAAACTGAGTGAAATGAGCTGAAGTATCTGAGCAGCATCATGACCACAGCTGCTCCACTTCTCTACATGAGGAGGAAAGGAGCTTCAATGCTTCCTATCTTATCTCCTTTAGTAAAGGAAACACTTGACCTTTACTAGAGAAAAGGAGAACTGCCATCCCACAATTCCCTGCAGCAGCAACATTTAAAGTGATGCACCATTGTAGTTTCACCACAGCAGACCCACGTAAATGTAGAAACACCAGAGCAGCTGTTTTATGTTTGTGACTCGATCCAGAAATGATGGAAATCCTGGTCTGATCGACTGAAGCCCAAATCCATAAATATAGATTTCTTATTCCTTGTTTCTATCTAATTATTATTTTAATGGCTCAGGTTTCTCTACTTTTATTTTTCTTTCATGTCATCTTATTTCAACATTTCAATCCTGTTTGTTTTGTTTTTGTGGTTAGGAGAGAAGAATCTAAAGAATAAAGTTAGTTAGCAGTCAGATTCTTTTCCTAAGTCCTTGTGAATTCTCCTTCACATCTTTCCTTCACCTCATTGACATTTTCCATCAAGGTCGAGGAGAAGTGGTAAGAGAGGAGATCATTTTGACTTTTGGACCGCAGCATGTGACTCTTCAATGAATCGGCTCAATGTTGGTGTAACATGCATTGAGTAATGCAGTTGTAGCGATTTTGTCTGGTCAGTTTGAACTCAACCTGTTCTACAATACAGTGAAGGCACTGCAGTAGTACAAGTACAGGTAGAAGACGTTTTTCAATAACTACTCATCAGTTAAGCTTCCCTCACAACAGTCCACAGTAACATACTCACCTCTGAGAGCTGACATGCTGAGATGTCCAGGATGTCATCAGCACCCGCCTCCTTAGACTGAAACACAAAGATGAGCCATTGTTTGAAATAGAAAAAGAATAGACAGAAAAGACATATAATGTTGAAAGAGCTACACAATTGGGAAGATGCCATTTTGATGAATGAAAAAAAGTTTCATATTCATAATGAAGACAAAAAAAGGCTGCAGATTGCTGATGTGATCCTCAGCACTGACAGTAGGGTGTTGATTACACTGTAATATGAACAGACTCTTCTTACCCGACACAGCTGATATTCCAGTCTTTTTTGGGAGTCATCACTGAGTTTCTTCTTTCTGAAGAACAGAGGCATTCTGGGTCTTGATTGCCCTGCTGTCTCTCTGCCTGCTCGGTTTCACTCCTGCCCCTCCACAACACTCCAGACTGATGGACAGGTAGGAATACAATGTCCAGACTGCCTGCACACTGAGAAGTAAGACAATTGTGATATTACGGACTAATCAGATGAAGCAATTTGACCAAATATCTGGCTCTTCAGCTGCTAAATGCTCCTTAACCAACTGGTCGCTAACTTTTTCTGCTGTTTGATGTTTGAGTCAGGTGTTGAACAGTGGCTGTATCACAGCTTTGTAACTGAAAACAGTTGCATGCTGCATTTGGAAACAAACTGATTGACTAACTGACTGATGGTATTTCCACCAGTGGTCAGCCAAGTGCATCTGAGTTGGAGTTTCTGGTAAAAACAGGTTCTATTTGTTGGGTGTTTACAGCTGCAGTGTTGACAACTTAGCTCATTGTATCTAGATTTAGAGGCTCTGTTTTAAAGAGACACTGCATTCACGGGATGCCGACTGGAGGCTTAGGGCTACACCTCTTGACAGTCTACAGAACCGCTCTGGTTTCCCGCCTGCTCAGGAACTGTCAGGATATTGAACTGCCAACAGTTCAATATCCCGATAGAGATGTGAAGGAGCCACCGCGATGATGTCATGACCAAGACTTGCATCTATTGTATTTCAGAGATATCTACTGAAATGAGCATGCTAACCAACTAGCCGCGTCCCAGACCGTGTTGTAGGGGTGGGCGATATGGCAAAAATATCATATCACGATTTTTTAAAAATAAAATCACGATTTCGATTTTATCACGATCTTAAATTGGAAAAAGAAAAACAGACAATTTAGACCAAAGAACCTTTCTTAAAAGATTTTATTTCAAATCGTCGCAGTTTTGCCTGCATGTGCAAACAACGTAAAGTTTAAGGTAAACAACAACAACATTCTGGTTCGTCGTGTTACCACCCGACGTGGAACGGTTTCTGTGCAAACTTTGCAGATTACATTTGCTTGCGCTTGATCAGTTGCGGAAAATCCAAACCAATTCCATATAATGGAGGTGGAATTTTTTTAGCGACCAACTCCGTTTGGCTTTCAGCCATCGCTCTCCATGTGCTACCGCTACACACACAAACAAGGAGGCGGGTAGGAAAGCACGTCACTGCCCGTAATTCGCTATGATTGGTCGGTCAGGTTGACGACGTCAATACGTCTGGTGCGTCGGTGCATCAGCATAGAACTGAATTTACAGAAAGTGCCCTAGAGACGATCCCACGATCTCTGCAGTTTGAAAGATCGTCTTCACGTTGTAATCCTTCACGATCTAATATCGTCATATCGCCCACCCCTACCGTGTTGTTATACCACCTAGACACTAGATGCTGTGTGAGTCAGTGTAGCGTCTAGTCTGCCCTCAGTCACACGAAGAAGGAGAGCTTCCTCCAGAGCTTGAAGTTACGCTACAGCTACTGACAAAAAAACCCAAAAAACTCCCATCTAGCATCACAGGAACGCAGAGTGTGTCTTCCCACCGCTGGAGACAGCTCCAGGTAAAGAGATGCGGTTTGATGCTGAGCTGCAACTTTTCTTATAGACTGGTGAATAACATCTAATGTTGGTCTGTAGCGAAAAGTATCATTACTGCAAATGACGAACCGTACTGACAAACACTTTAGGTGGCATAAATGTATGATTGATGATGTCTACAGATGTTTTAGTGATGTAGTAGAATTTAGCCTGTTCCTGTGGCTGTTGTCCAGATAGATGCGTCAGTAATTTTTCTTTTACAAGTGAGACAAAGAGACTGTTTGATCCAGAACCAGCAGGTTCAGGATCCACTGCCTAATACTGTATTTGTTTTAGCATATTCATATTTATGCCTAATATTTATTATACACACACAACAGACCTAACATGTTTGAATATAAAGAGCTTGTATGGTCTAAACTAATTGTCCTATCACATGTAGACAAACATGTATCAGGACCAGAATTCCAGTCCAGTCCTCCCCAGTGATGGACCAGCACCTGCCTTTATTTCTGTGTCTGTCCTCATCAACCATCAACAACCACATTACAGTAACACCTTGGAGTATTATCCCTGCACAGAACAGATATTGTCAATACTGTGATCTTTTTCACATCCTGCTTAGAGTTTTGTCAACACTTTTGTACATAGTTTATTTCATAGTTTTTTTTTATATATATATATATATGTATCTATGTATATTCATCTTTTTGACTGTTGAAGTATTTTACCTTTTTATTATTTCCTGTTAATATGTTTATTGTATACTGCACCAAACACCAAGCCAAATACCTTGTAAGTAAAGTATCTTACAATAAACCTTAATTTCTGACTCTGCCCTTGTGATGATGTCATCATTCCTTTTTCATGCTGCTGTAGACTGACACCCATGTGTCATGCAAACATTCTGTTTGTATTACAAGTACTCATAATTTGTTTCAGTGACATCAACAATTTTAACTATCAACAATAAATGCACATATAAATCATAAATTACAAGCAATGGAGTGAAAACAACAACATGATTAACTGGACAGGGAGGAAGAGGTGAAATGCTGCCCCCTATGGATGTGGAGCAAGTAGCATGATCCTACACATTACACCTTTAAAGAGGTCACAGGTGGACATTGCACTGAGATTGTACATATATTCAATGTAATCTATATAGCCTGTCAGATAAGATCTGTCCTACACTTCAACTTCAAAATAAAAGACTTATTGTAACGACACCGTTTTGAATCATGTGACGTGTTAGTGATGCTGCACAGGAGTGTGCTCAGTTGTGTTGTATATTGTGTATGTAAGCACCACGGGCCCTGTGGGTGTGGGGCTGGATGTGGACAGGGGAAGGGAGGGTTACCCGTAAATGACGTAGCTAATGCTACATATAACTGCCACAGATGTTGGCAAAGGGTGATCAACCTAGCAACACTTTGCACCTCATATCAACTGCTTTAAAGCTACCTATGCTAATCGTAATAGCAACATCATTGTTAGCTAACTGTGTGTTGTTCGCTTCAGTGCTTCCACAGCGGAGGTTTAATGACAGGGATGATAAGGTTAGCTTAACATAAGGTTAACAACTTCCACTCCTGGCAACGTTTAGCAAACAGGAGCTAACACAGGTTGCAGGTGTAAATAATAAGACACAAACTATAACAACACGACGTCTAGATATGAAGTCAGGTTAAACAGAGCCTAGTTTCATACTCACAGGCTGTTTGTTGATGTTGTGTCACTGCTCCTCGCTGCTCTGCTGGATGTAACTACTCAAGGGGGAGTTCCGATGTTTCCTTGCTCGGTCAACGTTAACATCTAACGGTGGGTGGCGAGTGGTCCAATCAGTCATTTGAAGCAATCGAAAAATATCTCCTACGTTACATGTTCAGTTCATAGACATTACATAGACACAGCAATATTCCTGATATGAGCCGTATACAGTTGATCACTGTTTTATTTATTTATTTTTCTCCTTGTGATGCTGCTGCTTCTTCTTCTTCTTCTAATGATTTTCCGGCGGGCTGTTCACTGTAAAGCCTAATACTGCCCTCCACAGAGAATTATTTGCTGTGTGTTTATCCTATATTTTTAAATACTAAAATAAAAATAATTTCTACCACCCCTATTATCATTATTATATATTATCATATTATTAATGTATTTTTTTTATCATATTACATAAGCATTATTATACTGTCTGTATACATGCCTGCACAGTTTGCCGCTATCACCACATTATTACTATTATATATTATTGTTGTCATTATTATTGTTAGCATTATTGTCATTATTGCTATTCCAATTATTATTATTATTATTGTATACGCGCGCGCGCACACACACACACACACACCTAAAATCTAATTTCATATACACTTAGTCTATTATGTTTTTACAATGTCTTCTATGTCACTTTCTGTTTTTTCACCAATTAAAAAAGCCAAGAATAAATAAAAACGTATAATTTAGAAAAAAAAAAGACTGAATCTGAATCTGTTACAACATGGGTGATCTGTGAGATGTGATGATGATGTGAATAACTGTCTATTCTGTGAAAATGATACTGAGAGCTTGGAACATTTGTTCTTTCATTGTGAATCAGTAGTCTGTATGGAGAGATATGCAGAGCTGGCTACAGCCCAAAAGAATTGTGTTAAGTTTGGTTTCTGTGTTGAAAATCAGAATTTGGACTTTCTTCTTAATTTCTTAGTTATTAGGGGAAGTTGTTTTATACATGAATGCAGGTATTTTAAATGTACAGTGACCCAATGTACAGAAGACCCAACTCCCTGAATAACTGTTGCCTTTCATTTCTGAACTTGTGACATGAGGACACATCATGCTGGGCTGTCTCCATGTCCACATTGACATAGACCATCTCGATGATTGCACATGTTCAAATAGCTGGATAGACCACAGTGTCCAGTCATTTTACTATTTTAGCCTGACAAGACTGTTAGCAGTGTTTGCACTGACTGCACGTGAAGTCAGGACTTTGTCTCTGAAGAGTGAACCGAACTCTCAAATCTTTCAGCTTGGTTCATGTTTATTAAACTCACGTCCTACATTAAACCATTATTTAAATGTGCATTACCCAAAACTAAACTCAAACTATGAAGGTCACTTATTATGCAGCCTGGACCTTGTCACTGTTATATATTTTTATCATTACTGATCCATTGCATGAGCAGCGTTTTAATGTTGTAGCTGGTTGAGTGACTGTTTGGTAGCTTAATCCATAATAATGATAATGTTGTTACTACATACAAATGTTATGAAACTGAATTTAACATATTGTGTATTGGTCTGACATTCTACCACAATCTGAGAAGTTATAACATGACATTTGCCGCCACTGTGATTAGGACATAATTACATATTATTATGAGGTATCTTGCCATTTCAGGTGGAGCTGAAACGAAACCTGATCCTTCAACCTATTAACAATAATAACACATTTAAAAGTTGTGTATATGGTGTCACTGTAGATATAAATGTAAATGTAAATATATGGTTATTTCTAGCTTTGACATTCATCTGTAAAGTATCTCCAAATACTTGTTCATCCCCGGTGTCATTTCGCTCAAAGAAGAAGAAATGGAAAAACAAACCTTCACCAAAAACAACATTTGGCAGCTGGAAAATAAAATCATTTTTAAACATAAAGTCCAACCCAGCAAACTATTTGTCCAAAAAGTGTGGCTGACACCTTTTATTCAAACATTTGAATGTGGTAATAACATTAAATATTTACACTGTAATGACCTGTTCAAGTCAACATGTACACTCTATAAGCACAGAAGACCATTTGATGTAGTTTACCAGAAGGTCCAACAGATAAGCTCTATCAGCTCCACCTGTTGCATGTCCTATTGACTGATCAGTCAAATGATCACATCAATAAAAAATAAAAAGCAGTGCTGATCAGACAATCACAACACTGCAGCATCTGAGAGGCAGGGTTTAAAACGTGACACCCCGACTGTAAACTCCTCCAACCACTAAAACACTCGATCAAATTCAGTCTGACTGGTGGTGGCTGGGTTTCTGTTCTGATTGGGCTGCTGCTGCGGCATGTGGCCTCTCCGTCTGGGCGGTGCCAGATATTCAAACATGGAGGTGTTGTGGGTGGAGAGCATGTTCTTCAGGTCTGACGGCATGGGGTCGGACCAGAAGAAGTCGTGGTTGAGCGCGTCGTCGCTGTCTATGCGCTGTGCTGGGTCGAGGACCAGGAGCTTGTCGATCAGGTCCAGAGCGTACGGGTCTTTGACGTAGGCTTTGAGACGATCCTTCACTTTCCTCTTCTGGCCTTTAGGAAGCTCCATCTTCTGGTAAAGCTCGTATTTCTTGTCCACACCAGGCCACACCTGATAGACAGAGAGAACAGTTTAATATCCAGTTGACAAATAAGAGAAGTAGATGTCATGTGATGCAGCATCAGCCGTCTTACCTCTGCAGTGATGGAGCCACAGAGCTGGCTGATCAGAGTGAGCTGGTGCTGCTCTGTGTTGCCTTGCATAATAGGACTTCTGGTCCACATCTCTGCCATGATGCAGCCAGCTCCCCACAGGTCAATGGGAGGGCCGTAGTCTCGCTCACCTACCAAAAACAAACAAATTCACAGATAATAAATAGACAGATAACATATGCTTTCTTCCAGACAAGTGGTTCCAAACCTTTTCCAACTCATGGCCCACTTGAAAATCTCAAAAATGTTGGCAATCCACATCTGACCCCATAACGCCAGGAGCACACTGGATGCGTGATGTGTGTGTGTGTGTGTGTGTGCACGCTGTGGCTGCTGGACATCTTGGTTTTCATTTCGGTGCACATGTTAACAGGTGAGAGCGAACACACTGCCTGTGTGACGTGTACGTGAGCCTGTTGTTGACCTGTTGATGTCATATTGAGATCACAACAGCAACATTACACAAAACTTACACCACTAAAGTCTTTCTATGTCTAGTCTGAATATGAATATAACAGACATGAAAAAATAGAAATATATTTTTTAAATTTTGTAGCAGCTGCATGTGGAGACAGGGACATTTTTGTGACGTTTTCTGTCAAAAATAAATCAGAAATTAATTAATAATAAGCAGCAGCAGCAGCAACGCAACAGAGACGCAGTTGGTGTGCACACACACGTGTTTCTCAGCAGCAGCTCAGCAACGGCAGCCACCACGCTCACACAACACAGGCAAATTAAATGTTCTCAAAGCACCTTTTATTTTAATGATAACCATCGAACATTCAGGACTGATCTGAGAAACATGCAGGAAGCTCAGGAAGATCTTTCTGTTTTGTTTGACACAGCAGTCATCACTTCTTAACTCATCATCCGTCTCTTGATTCTTCCCTTTGAATTCTTCTTGTTGCTAACCAGCTATCCATGTTGATACTCTAGTTTCTGCCATGTGATCTTTTAGCGCGATCAGACTGAGACAGCAAGCAACTGTATGATGTGGTCAGGCAGCGACAACATAAAAATTGTTATCATTGGCTTATCACAGTGATAGACCTTAATATAAGAAAACAAAACAATGAGATCTGTTGGCCCACTTCAAATACCTTCATGGCCCACAGGTTGGGAACCAGTGTTCTAGACTACATTAAAATTATAGGTACCCTGATGCACAATGGAGCAATGTTCTGCTTCTTATACACATCTGCAGTATGATACACATCCCTGTCAGTGGTTTCACACAGTGCACTACTCTACAGGAGACTGTACTGTGCCACCACAGTCAGTGAAGGAGAAGGCATGGACGTAAACAATGCAAGTTTCAAACATGTAGAAAAATCAGGTTTGCAAATACTTTGAGGTTTTGAATTTATTTAATTCCTCTTTGTTTTAGAAGAGTTTATTGATTGTGCTTTTGGATATTGTCTTTTGAGAAAACTCAGTAAACTTAGCATCAGTAGATGCTGTTAATCCTTACTGTATGCTTTTCCGACAGTGACTGACAGTAACACTACCACATGTACATGTGTGATTACCTGCTGTACACAAGGTTGTTTGCAAGACCCAGCCCATACAAATCGGTGTGTTGTATTAAATGCACTACATCCATTTACAGCTAACAACAACACAAATCCGTGCACATCATACTTCTTACTTTGTGCTCACACAGAGTTTGGTGTTCATCTCTTACCTAGCAGCAGCTCTGGAGGTCGGTACCACAGTGTGACCACGCGGTTAGTGTAGCGGTTCCCCTGGCTGTTTTTAGCCAGGCTGAAGGCTCGAGCCAAACCGAAGTCAGCCAGCTTCAGAACACCGTCTCTGGTGATGAGCACGTTGGCAGCCTTCATGTCTCTGTGGAGGATCTGATCCAACAGAAGGCCACAGACCATGAGACATTGTAGCAGTGAGATTAATTAATGCCTAATTTATTTCTTTGGTTTAAAGTGTAACAAGATCAATATTCTTCGTTTTTTCAGATTAGTGTCAGTTCAGTGTGACCTCTGCTCACCTGCTGCTTTTATACCTCTCTAAATACAGACATGCCTCACCTTATTTCGGTGGATGTAGTACAGTCCATTCAGCAGCATCTGCATGACCTTCTTGATCTCGGCCAGGGTGAACTTTACATTGGCGTTACTCAGCAGCCCGGCCAGGTCGTGCTCACAGAAGTCAAACACCAGGTAGATGCTGCCTTTGTATCTGTTGAACTGAGTAGCTTCGAAAACAATGAGAGGAAAACAAAGAATGAAAAACATCCATCCACCAACAAACTAAGTTTACACAACATATGCTTCCTGTTTATATTCTATTCGCCCTTCTAATTGGAGCAAGACATATTCTGCTGTTTATACACAGCAGGGAAAACAAGTGACCTAAAAATACAACGGCACAAATCTAGAAGACGACAGAAACTGATTGACTGTCACACCAACCTTTGGTTCTGCAGATCTCAATCAGATTGACCACATTCTCGTGTTTGAGCAGCTGCAGGATCTTGATTTCTCTCAGTGCTGTGATTGGAAACTGAAACAAAGATAAAGATGAGCTGCTCTGTGAGTACAGATTCAAGATGTTTTAAATTTTCAAGTAAGAAATGTTTTAAGGGGCAGCAGCTACACTGGGTTAGAGGGGGCTCAAAGCTAAGACTCCAAACACATCATTAAGGTAAGCAACACCTTTTATTTCTGTCTTTATTTAAGTTCTGACCATCATTATGTCAGGGCAGGAAAAAATGAATCAGACAAAGTGAGCGTACCCAAAAGGATAATACAATATAATATAAGTTTAAGCAGACAGTTGGTCTGTAAACTGTAATGGATGTGGACAACAAACAGTTTTGGGTTACACACTTGTATTCTCTTCCAAATTAGTTTCATCAACCTAGGGCAGCGATCTGCAACTGGCGGGCCACTGGCCAAAACTGGCCTGCCAGCAATAATATCTGGCCCACCAGATTATTTTGATAATGTGATTCTTTTGTATCAGAAAAAACAAAACAAAACAAAAAACAAACAAACAAAAAAACAAACAAACAAAAAAAAAATGCAGATGATGAGCATGATGATGGATTGCTATTCTAACCAAAAAGATGATCATATGATCTTTTTTACCAACCCTATCTGTGACTGTGGGCCAGTGCCACATATGTGAACAGAAACAAAGTAAATTCCAGTTGCATTTTATATCTTAAATATCTTAAATTAGACATTGATTATGTTCTGGCCTGCCATGTAATACATTAAAGAAAAGTTGGCCCGAGGCCAGGCTTACCGAACCCTGACCGAGGGGTTTGCTTACAACCTTCTTTTTTTTTTTTTACCAACGCTTCCCTGTTCCCTGATCACTGTAGTTAACTTGGTGTCCACAATATTATTATAACTATTAGAAATGAAGAAGGCCAAAATAAAAAAAATAAGACCCAACTTGTCATAAACCGCAATTGTCCATTAATGTGCCTTTTCTGTTGTACTGAAAAACCCATGCTGAACCCGTGCTGAACAAGTTTGGCATATCAGGCTGTAAATTGACTAGTAGACTCTAAATGGTCACTTACTCCTTCTTTCTCATTTTCCATCAAGACTTTCTTCAGCGCAACCTTCTTCCCCGTCTGTCTGTGTTTTGCTTTGAACACCTCCCTGTGAAACACAGAATAGAGAATCACATTACAAGAGACAGCTTCAAATGAAACACTTTGATTTTGGTCACAATTTCATTTTAAACAGTTACACATGAAAGCAAGTATAAATTATATTGGTAAATCATTTCTAGCTAAGACATTTATGTCACTTCCACTTTTGATCTGTATTATAGAGCTTTGTAAATACTGTTGGATTTATATTTAAAAGTGTGAGCAAGTGACTCTTCAATGGTGATTTGTAAGTCATACCAGTGTCTTTCGTATTGAATTACTAGTTAACAAAATCATCATCATAACAAAATACTATATAACTAAATGCTGTTTTGATTGAATTATTATTTTAATGGCTCAGCTTTCTCTACTTTTATTTATTTATTTCATGTTATCTTATTTCAAGATTTCAATCCTGTTTGTTTTGTTTTGACATACATGTGATAAATAAAGTTGTTTAAAAAAAATTGAAACCCTGTGTTTCAATTATCCACTTGTCCTCTCACTCACTCATCTTCTAAACAGTGTTTGCTACATAGAAGACTCACTAGTGCAGACAGCAGTTAAACTCTACTTGAATGTTAAATTGCTACAGAATGCGCTGGATATTTGTTATTATTTCTGTCACATAAACAAACATCAGAGCAGCTGCATCACATGTGAGGCAAAATACATGACAATACATGCGATTTTACAAGACTGCAATTTTTACGCATCTTTCATATATTGTATATATTGTAAAGTATGTTTAACTTTGTGTCTACAGAGCAGCCTGTACTCTATTTGTGTCAGTTCTTACTATTTAGTCAGTTTATGATGTTTTACAAATATCAAATCGCATTAGCTAGCAGCTAACCCTAGCAGCCTGCCTGTTAAGGAGAGGATTTCTTCTGTAGCACTTTCACGACACGGGCCGCAATGCATGATGGTTTAGCTTGATCAATGTAGTGTTCATCTTCCAATATATTTTGGTGTGCCTCGTGACAATTTTGTACTGCACTACATAGTTAATACATTTCACAGTTAAAAATTCAAACAGCAGTACACAACGGCTGATTAACTATATAGTGAGTAGGTGGATGTTCCAAACAGGCATCCTAGATGTGATGAACACTGATTGGAAGAGAAAGACTCCCCCCAACAAGCAGCCAACCTGGTAGACACATTACATACAGTGTTTATTAACTCATATACGATCCTCTAGAGATCACCTATTTCTAACAGTTAAAACCAGGTTGTACGTGAATAGAGGAAAACAAAACATCCAGTGTTTACCTGTTGTCTCCTTATGACTACGTTCCCTATTAGCACAGCTAGCATTCTCATTAGCATTCACAGATGTAAACACACAGTAAAATGTTTGTGTAACACTCACCCAAAGGTCCCCTGTCCTATCTTGGCCATTTTTTCGTATTTGGAAAACTCGTCACAGAAAGGAAATTCAACCCCATCGTAGTATTTCGACATTATGGCGGCCTCCCGGTCGGGCCTGAAGAAGAGACATTTCACTCAATATTGGGATACTTAAGTCAACCCACGAGCTATATTTAGGTAAATAAACTGATGTAAACACACATATTTTACAGGGAAAGCTGTAAGTGGCTTTATTCTTACTTTTCAGCCCCGCCGGCGTTGCTCGTTCGGTCCCGCTGCATCCCTCTATCTTTTCTGCTACACGATGACGTATTGCTACGTTTAAGTGCAACTCGGACTCCTACAATTCAGCAGTGTAAGGACTAGTTTCAATAAATCATCAATAAAAACAATGATAGTAATAACGACAGGTGAAAATACAGATACCCGATTCACATAGTTTACGCAGACAGCAATGCAATAACCCTAAATAGAAATCAAATTATTATTTAATGTTATTATTAATTATTTGAAGTCTTATCATCCGTCGGGTGACAAGAGAATTACATCGTTTCCATATTAATATCCCGTGATTGTAATTTTTCTCGGTATTTACCACTGTGCTGGGTCGCATAGAGTAACACATGTACATGATTACATGCAAACGTTACCCATAACAACCAGTAATATTTTCAAATCCAAAAAGTAGGACACCACCCGAAGGCAGCAATATGGCTGAAATTATTTGATAGCGACGCCTGGCGAGTCGGAGTAGTATCGCCTGTAAAAGTGTGCTTGTTAAAAATAGTGACATTACTTATTAAAAAAGGGTTCTAACCCCGTAGATACAAGATTCTCTTGCAAATGAGCTATAAAAAGGTCGGCTATAAAACATGGCCGCCATCAATCAAAATATAAATAATATAAAAGGCGGGGCTTAGCTCTTAAAACTGTTTAGATAATTTCAGGCTGTGTGCCTGCCAAAGCAATTGAGCCAGACCCAAAGGGGGCGCCACAAATACCAAAAATGTACCTGGTGGACAGACTTTCAACAAATTTGGTAGACATGTTCTGTGGGTGAATATTAAGCAAAATCTGAAGTGCCATATTGATTGATGGAAATGGGCGTGGCCTATTCATCATTTTCTGCTATCTCAAGTCTTTGATCAATTTGCAGTGAGCTGGAACGAGCCAGAGACACAAAAATTGGCACCATAACTAGAAGTGATGTGCAAATGCCTCACAAAAAAATGGATCCTTCTGGACTACAGGGTGGTGCTATAATTAACAGTAAACAGAGTGAAAACTTTGAAAGGCAGCTGCCGCCAAGTTACGAGTCCAACTGACTTCAAATTTACCTCACACCTACACGTCAATATTCTCTATCAAAACCCTCTGTGATAATAGTGGCCACCATTATTGTTTTTTAGCTAATTTGCATAAAATGAATGAAATTAATAAAACTTTATGAATTTCCACTCTAGCAACACCAAATTTGGTATACAGCCTTGAAGGACCGAGATATGTGTCTATGTGTGTATAAGTGTCTCTTATAAATGAGTAAGATCAGTTTCAAAACATGGCCGCCATGACCTGATGGCGGCGCTATAATTAAGGGTCAAAAAGTTTGAAAGGCTGCCCCCATCTCACCTTGAGTCCTATTGACTTTGCATTTAAGGCAATATACTCTACAACAAGCCTCTGTGATGACAGAGGTCTCTGTGATGGATTTTTAGCTGTTTTGTGTAATTAGCTGAAATTTGGCTGTTTCTCTCTATTGAGCACAAAGGGGTTAGAGCCCACGAACTGCAGCTTGAATTTCTGATTGTATTCAGCCATGTTAACATTATGTTGAGGACAAACTAGTTGGCCAGTCCTATTATTAATAGCTATTAATGACTGAAGTTACACTGCAGTGTACACGTACACATTTCTGAAATTTAACCTATCATTTTTCAGAGAAACTCATTATTACCTCTATATACCTCGGTGAGGTGTTCAGAAGGAGGCAGTTCTTGTTGCTCCATTCAATCATATATCTTCAAGTGATCAACAGTGTTGTTTCAGTGAATATAAAATTGTGTAAAGTGCAAATTACTGGCTAAATCTCCTGGTCACAAAACTGTCAACCGAGGAGCAAAGATTAAAACATGACACTTCTATATATTTTTTTAGACTTACATGTGCAAAACCATTAAGCAAGAATAATAAACGAACAGCACCACTTCAGCACCACCATCATAATGCGTACTTTAAAAAATAACAGCAGAAACAGTCTGCTCACTAATTCATCTGCACTGTTTGTGTTGAGGAGAAATCACCCTGATATCTGGAGATGGATATAGCTAGTGTTAGCTCCCTGGCAGAGACAAACAAGAATAAGGGTAGTAAGATAGATCCGTAGTTCCCAACCTTTTCCAACTCATGGCCCACTTGAAAATCTCTAAAATGTTGGTGGACCACATGTGACCTCGTAACAATAAGGAGGGCAGATAATACAATCTCAGAGCACATTTATATTAATAGTATTAATTTAACTCTTCCTGTTAACTCTTCCTGTTGCTCCATTTTCATTCTCCAGTTTTTGCAATGGATGTGATATTTTAGCACGTAATCAGACTGTGATAGCAAACAAATATACGATGTGGTCCAAAAGTTCCTATCATTGGCTCATCACACGGATAAGCCCTAAAACCAGACAAATGAAAATGGCTGTGTGGAAATGGATGGAGTTTTTCAACATTTTTAATGTTTTTAAAGATCGTTTTGTTTTAAAACATTCAAGAACATTCTTTTACTTTTATGTTTACATCTTTCACCAAAATTTTACCTTCACAGTGGGCCCAGCCCACAGGTTGAGAACCACTGAGATACAGTAGGTGAAAGGTTCTGCCACTGTGCTATGCTGCCAATTTGTCCCAGTGACCACAAGTACTATGGACAACTTTCCCAGTCTATATGGTCATAACTTGAATTGAATATAATTGTTATTTGATGACTTTTATCATATTGTATTTGATGGTTGATATTTGTGTATTTATTGCTAATCATCTGTGGACACTGTACCGTAAAACTGAATCATTGAAAAATAAAGATACAAGCATGAATGAAATTCAAAAATGAGAAAAATATTAATAGGTAAACATGATGTCTGTCTGTCATGATGTCACGCGCACGCGCGCGACACTACAAGAAACGTATGACGACCTAACCCAGGGTGTATAAGGGCCGCGCGTCATTTACATCTCTCCCTTTGCACCTGGACTCGGAGACGAATTGACTGTTGTAAACCAAAGCTGTGGAAAGCGAACTGTTGGAGAAGAAAGCACTGCATCCTGTTGGAGAACAAAACTACAAAACTGCATCTCTGAACCTCTGTGGAAACATGGCCTTCAATAGACCTGAGGACATGGAGGAACACCTGCAGAGGGCAGCCGTCCATGTGTGGCTCGACAACCATGCAGGTAAGACCACTTTTAAAAGTATTCTCCATTATAAAAATAATTTACTTATGACTGAATCATCCGTTCATGGTCTAAAAAGTCTATAAAAGAGTACAACTGTTTAAATGTAAATGTGGACAGTTCACACCATGTCATATAAGCCTGTTGGAAAAACAGATTTGGTGGCACTTTACTCGACGATTTCTCTGTGTGAAATGATTATTTGATGGGCAGAATTTCTTAAATATCCCGGGAAATGTGTGGAATTCATTAACAATTAGTGCAGTGATTTGAAAACATTGTTGTTTTGGTTTGAGGGCGTCAAATTGTCCAAATGTTGCATCGAAATTATTAGAAAAAGATGGCGGCTGGGCCAAATTTCATAAAATGCCAAAAATATTTGTTTCTCGTGCAGCATGGAGATGATGGAACTTATAGCTCCGAACGTCAGGACGTCAGGACGTACAGGTGTAAACACAGCAGTGGTTGTGTGTGGTTGTTTGGATCCTTGCAGTTTGACTTGATATATGCTGAGCTGATACTTTCATATTCAGAATTGATATCGATATAGTGAAGCAGAGCAAAACTAGAGAGATTTTAGTAGAGGCGAAATCTCCAAATTTTCCACCCCAACCCTAAATATAAAGTTCTAAACACACACATAATAATAAAATTCAAACATATCTGATATATAAAATACATATAGTATTTATAATTTATTTTCCCTCACTTGTTTTCTAGTACAGTTTTTATTTTGTGGGTTATTTTCTATTCGAAATAAAAGAAAATCTCGAAGACAAAGCTATGCAGTTTCTGTGTGAGTGTATGAACATTGGTAGTGAAATTGCGATGCAAGGGGGGCGCCAGCTAAAATCTTGCCTAGGGCACCAAATTGTTCAGGGCCACTGAAGAAAGAGATAAAATGGAATATTGTCTGACTGTTCTTGGATCAGGTGACATGTTGGTACTTTGGTTACTCAGATTTTTTGTGGTATTTTTTAATGTAGTTAATTTTGTAGAAGAAGAAAACGGTTTGTTGTGTAACTTGATGCATGTGTGCGCCCTGTGCCACAGTCTTCTTCACGTCCCATGATTTGCCGCTCACACACTTGTAGACGACTCGGTTACAAACTACTGTTTTAGTCTGAACAGGATTACAAAGGTTTAAATGATGATTTTGTTGAACCTCTGTGGTTGGCTGCGCATTCATTTATCAACGTTCCTACGGTTCGCTGTGCGTAATGACGCATGTGCGATACATATTAAATCAATTTATGCAACTTATTGCAAACCTTTTAGAGTTTTGTCCACGTAAACATACAAGTCCTCACTATGTTCTGTTCTAGTGCTCGTACACAAAGGTGGTTAATGGCCAGTGACAGACTGATCACATTTTTCCTCGAGCTCCGTGCTTGGCAGTCGCACTCCCATCACTGAGCTCCCATCCCGTTTTCCATGTCCGGTGATGTCTCATTTTCCTGTTTCTTGCATTTTGGTCAAATCTAGGCTTTGGGCGTGGCTCTGTGGGCGGGGACCGGAATCCAAAAAAAGGGGGAGAGAACCGTGCGTAAAAGCGCGCAGCGTCACGAGCTACTCCTCTCCTGTCCAGTCTCTTCGAATGAATTGTGAGTTGTTGACAGACACAATATTACTTTTCTTTAAATTGAGATTATTAATGTCCTTGTTGTTTTGCCCTGTATTCTCTGTTTGGGCTTCTGAAGAACTCTGAATGTTTGGGTGTCTAAATGTTTTTTTTACATGATTTTGATGTCATGGCTGTGCTCACAAGAATAATGTCTTTTATCATTTGCTCACATTTTAAATGTGTTTGCGTGTAAATAACTTCTCCTCAATTCAAGGCTAAACCATTGTTTCAGTTTTCGGTC